CTATTGCGTAGATTTAATGGTAATACTGACATTTTAGGGTCTGGTAAATGGGAAACAAAGTGGCTTGGAGCAAGTCACCCAACACAACAGGTGGCGTTCCCAGGTCATCAAATACAGACGCTTTGGGTTGCCAAACCAACCAAGCAACCAAGTCGGTATTTGACAAACTGGAAATGAGACTCAGCAATCAACTATCTATCTCCTGAATGATGGACTCCTCCTTTGACTGCATTAGTCATAGAGGACGCTGCTACTTTTTCTGGGCGTGTTAAAGCACACTGATGGCGCAGGAAAAATGCACCTGTGTAAATCCGGTTTCACTAGTCCCTGATACTGATTACCAGTTTTGGTTTACATGACGTGTAAGAAATCAGCTAGTAAAAAAATGTCTGGTAAACCGACAAGTCACATGCTAAAACCAGCGAGTGAACCTGGAGCGCTTTATCTTTATGTCTTCTTTTATTGTTTCAGATTATCTGCTGCACATGTTAACGTCAAAACAATAGTTTGACCCACATCTGCCACGTTGACCTTTGTTTTTCTTGTCAATCATTTACCTTCTCATTCCACTGAACAACTCCATGTGCCTGCTGAGTCACATGTTTGACCATTGAGAAAACATCCTTAGCGCGTTCAGTATTTAAAAGGAAGGTTGGACTGGAGGTATGTTAGGTATGATTGCTCAGTGTTTCACACTGGTAGCTGTGGTTATTTTCTAAAATATTGCGTTTAAGACTTGTCCAACGCAAGAACATAACTCATAAATAAATAAATAGAATTTAAAATCCTCCTCCTCACCTATAAAGCTCTTCATGGTCAGGCCCCTTCATATCTCAAAGAGCTCATAGTACCCTATTACCCCTCTAAAACATTTCTGAATGCACTCTCTCTGTGGACAGCTTTCAGTCCTGCGTTCGGGAGGCAGACAAAATCTTCCGCATTTAAGAGTAGGCTTAGAGTTCCTCTTTGTACTTATAGTTAGGGCTGGATCAGGTAGTCTGAACATCTCTAAGTTATGCTACTATAGGCTAGACTATCGAGGGATTTCCATGGTGCACTGAGCTCCTCTCTCTCTCTTTCTGCCTCATTCATGTCCATTAGCTGTTACTAACTTCACTTCTTCCGGAGTTCTTGTGCTTTCTGTCTCACAGGTTCTATGGACCCTGTGGAGCCTCTGCATGGTCTTTTGACTGCCATTGTAATATCACTGACTTATGTGTTATTTCTTATCTATTATTAAGGTATTATATATTGGTACAGTTACTGTTGTCTGCTGCTGTCGTGCTCGCTGTCCCCATCGTTTGCTGCTGTCTCTGTATCGTCTTTCTTCTGTTCTTAGTGTATTGTGTAGTTGTTGCGTCATCTGTCGTCTGTCCCTGTCTCTCTTTCTCTGTCTGTTCTCTCTCTCTCTTCTCTTCTCCTCTCTCCTCTCTCTCTCTCTCTCACCCAATGGCAAGGCAGATGACCACCCACCTAGCGAAGGTCTGTCCTAGGTTTTTTCTGTTTTAACAGGCAGTTTTTCCTTGCCCATTCGCAAATGCTTGTCATGTGGTATGTTTGGTCTCTGTAATTTTAAAGGAGTTGGTCTAGACTGCTCTATTTGAAAGTGTCCTGAGATATATCTAGTAAAAATTTTATACAGCTAAATTTAATAGCAAGGGATTGATAAAGTCATTTACTGTGAAGTTGGCCAGT